AATTTAAAACAAATGTGGTGGCAGACAAATCATTTAATGCGCCACATACCTTCACATTGGAATTGATCATCTCATTTAATGAGTCAGCTGATTTAAAATTTCTAATAATTTAAAACAAATGAGGTGGCAGACAAAACATTTAATGCGCCACTTACCTTCACATTGGAATTGGTCATCTCATCTAATGAGTCAGCTGATTTAAAATTTTGAATTTTGAAATAGAATCACTCACCTGTTTTAATGACTCAGCTGTTTTTACATTGGAATTATTAATATTTTAAAATAAAAAAAAAACAGACAATTAATTTTTTATTCAATTAATTTTTTTGATTTTTTTTTAAAAAATCGAAAATCAAATTGAATTTATAATAATTTAAAACAAATGTGGTGGCAGACAAAGCATTTAATGTGCCACTTACCTTCACATTGAAATTGGTCATCTCATTTAATGAGTCAGCTGATTTAAAATTTCTAATAATTTAAAACAAATGAGGTGCAGACAAAACATTTAATGCGCCACTTACCTTCACATTGGAATTGGTCATCTCATCTAATGAGTCAGCTGATTTAAAATTTTGAATTTTGAAATGGAATCACTCACCTGTTTTAATGACTCAGCTGTTTTTACATTAGAATTATTAAATATTTTAAATATTTTAAAATACGAAAAAAATGGAAAATTAATTTTTTATTCAATTAAGTTGTGGTGTAAAATATTGAATTTTGAAATGGAATGACTCACTTGTTTTAATGACTCAGTTGTTTTTACATTGAAATTATTATTAAGCAATTACTAATAATGAAATTAATTGTTAACAATTGGTATAATGGGGAAGTTCAAATGACATCCCTAAAACACATCGTACTAAAGAAATTCACACGTCGTACTAAAGCTGATAACAAAATATTAAAAGAAATTTTTTTTGCAAACTTTGTTAAAAATGAAGAAGCGAAGTTGATATCAAAATATTTAAAAACAAATATTAAGGCCTTGATACACTGTCAAAGTTCAACACATGATAATAGGCAACATAATAAGGAAAATGTCAATAGCTCCTCGTTACAAAAAATCGACCAAAGCATAGTTACAGATTTTCTTTCTGCTCCAAAGTGTCACCGGCTGCAGCATCAAAACTGTGCCAAAATAAACAACAAGGCACACAGAGTGAGAGGGATGAAATTATAAATCACGTAAACTTTATAATATCTATAGTCAGAACTTAACTCTTTCTCCAGCTTTATTTTTTTAAGAGGACGGACAACTGAACAATTATTTTTATCTTCAACAACATCACCATACTTCACAGACGGTGACAACAAAGTGAGAGAAATATCAGCATCATCAGTACTATCACAAGTTTGGCTCTGAACATCCTGTCAACAAAATGACTCTGACCGCTATTAATATAAGGATACGGCAATCAAATTTTCCAATTATGTCAATAATACCAACTCACCACAGCTTTTCATGACCCTATCGACATAATAGTATCATCAGAAGGACTGTCAAATACAGAATCATCCTGAAATGTTTTTTCCATAAACGCAAAAAAGTCATAACTTTGAAAAGTATAGGTTATGAATAATAATAAAAAACAAACATTTGGGTCCACCGTGGTCTTCAAAAATGATATGATAATACTTTCACGGATGCAAACTTTGGCCACATGATATTTTAGCTCACTGTATGAGTTCAAATTGCTAATTTTGACATTCACTTTAAACAACATAGATCTATCTTTAAGAACGTTCAACTCTTCCGGATAATGTTCTAAATCTGCACCCTACAAAAAAGGAAACACAGCAAAAGAAGTACTAAGGGTGTTAAAAGTTTTGAGAACCTCACTAATTAAAAAATTCAAAGTTTTGAGAACCAAACCCGCTTAAAATGTTGCTCGCGCAATTCAGCAGCAGTCACTCCTAATAAAGAAAGACAGTCTCTATCAAATAGTACGAAAGAAGCAGAATCCGTGTTATCAACAACTCTGACTTGAACACTGAACCTAAAAAAATAAAAAATTGAATTTTACATCAGTCACACAGTGTGCATGAATAATTTTTCGATAACAATGGCAAATCAAAAAATGGCTTACTTCGGAGTATATTCATTCCAATGTTTCTGACAGTTCTTACAATACCATTTCTCAAAATCTTCGCACACTGAATATGGACATTTCTTATAGGACTTGTACCACCAGTTGTATTTACTTTCGATGGATTTTACAGTTCCATAAGTAATGCAAGTAGTAGCATCTATGCAATTCTTAATATCAGTAAGAAATTTCCTCTCTGTATCCTTGAGAAAATCATTTTCATAAGAATATGAAGATGGGCTGGACAACTGAGTCAACATCTGACTACTTTCCATCAGATCACCGGAAAGCCTGGAATATAAAAATATATAAAAGAATGAGTGAACAGAGCAAAAGAAATGCCTCATAATTTCTCACGGTAGCCCACCTTTTTTTGAACTCTACGATCTCAGGTATATTGGAATCAAAAAGAATTTTTGTCGTATACTTTGTATTAGCTATTCCAATCTTTCCTGGAAAAAAAAAATGCTACGTAAATAAAAGAAAAAGTAAAACAGCAAAACAAAAAAATAAAAAATTAGAATTTTAATCACAAAAAAAAAGTACCCCTAAAACCCTTTATCCTTGCAAGCTGAAGTATTATAACATTTTGAGCACTCTGATTCTTTGCTAAGAAAGTTTGGATCTCATCTACGTATGACTCCCACAAAGTGCATTCAAGTTTCTGACCCCTATCATGATATAGAAACAAAAGACACATAAGAAATGATGTAAAATCCCATTCTCTTTAAATTCAAAAACACATAAGAAATTACATTACAATACTATCAGAAATATAGATATCATAAATACCTCAGGTTGTCAAGCTCCACGACAACCATTTTTGTATTCCTACCAGAGATGACATGTTCACGTACTTCCCCAATTCCAGACAGCAAACCAATGACGTCTACACAACAAATAACATGGGTTTCAGCCTTACGTCCTATATACAAAATCTTAATTGAAAGCGAATAACACAATACACCAATCCCATCACCTATTAAATAAGGAGAGTCAGAGGATTCTTTCTCAATAACGTCAAACTCAGCAAAATCAAAACCACGCTCAGGAATCGTAGCATCAACAATGGATTTCACGTCCGTTCTCAAGTTGAAAGACAGACGATATTCATGCCGTGTTGGCCTGAAATTACCCGTATTCAACAACTCCAAATTTTTTTATAAAATAAGCATCACCCTCACGAATTTTCTTCTGAACCTGCAAAGTACCCTTGGCCGTAGCATGGATCCTTCCACCCTATAAAATGATAACACGCAACAAAGCAAAAAAAAAAAAAAAAAACAGACAATGAGCTACTGAAAAGATAAAAACATTGAAAAAAAAAAAATACATTACCCGTTCGTCGACCAAAACCATATCCACATTGTCATCAAAATCTTTTTGATTAAAACTGGGAACCTTCCAACACCTAACTACACGCACTTTAATCCTCCACTCTTCTTTCGTCGGATTAAGATCCTTTACGAAGTCGTATTTTGAGGACATTGAATACATTGGAGGAGTAGAGAAATGGACCAAAGAAGATACAAAATGCTCGTGGCAGTGATGCAGACCAAAAGGCAAAAACAACACCAAATATCGTCTTTATACATGCAATGAATACATAATGAGTCAGCTGATTATGATCTTAATTAACTCCCAAAAATACCTAATGAGTCAGCTGATTTAAAATTTTGAATTTTGAAATGAAATCACTCACCTGTTTTAATGATTCAGCTATTTTTACATTAAAACGGAAAGAATCCTCTAGTGTGAACAGAAATTCAAACATACATATTTTGTTCACTATATCGAAAATAAGTCTGTTTTCAAGACATCCTCTAGTGTGAACAGAAAGCTGAGATTTAAGGAGAATGCGACACTTTAACTAATTTTCAAAAGTTTTTTTTACATTAAAACGGAAAGAATCCTCTAGTGTGAACAAAAATTCAAACATACATATTTTGTTCAATACATGAAAAAGAAGTAAGTTTTCAAGACATCCTCTAGTGTGAACAGAAAGCTGAGATTTAAGGAGAATGCGACACCTCAGCTAATTTTCAAAAGTTTGGTTCTCCTATCTATATAGTAAGATAATACAAGCCGTGATTCCTAATAAGGATTCCTGTATACGAAGCAAAGTACATTTTTCTCTTATTTTTAATACAGCTTACCTACATACATATACATAATGGGATCTATTTATCTCATATTGTATGAGATAACAATACAAACATAATAGTGAGATCTAATATTTTATTTTACTTTTAAAAAAATAATACACCCCACTACTTTGTTTTTGTTGCATGAAATGAGATAATTATTTCTCATACGCTAAAATAACGAACTGCTTTAAATTAGATTAAAAGTAAACTAACTGCTAAAAAAATTTACTTACTTTTTTACTCCCAAATTTATCATCATATATAAAACCCTGATTTTACACGGACTACTACGATATGACCACACCCATTTTCCCTTCAAACCCCAAACCCCATCCGAGTATTTTTTAATCATTTTCACCAATCCAGCTTAAAATACCTTATTACTTAACTTTGAAGGTGCCTAACGTTACATTTAAATAGCCCCTAATCTTGGCTTAAGCCTTCTGTTTACCAAAAAAATAAAAAGAATAAATAGCCCCTAATCTAACATTTAGAAAAATAGAAATAAGAAAAACAAACGAAAACGCTTATTTGAACATTAGAAAGATCGAGTCAATTTAGTTTACAACTCAAAAAAACTAAAAACAGACAAAATCCATAAGATTTTTACAGTGAAGATACCCAATTCAAAACAATCACACCTTTTTTGATCAGAATACTGCCAAACAAATAAGTGAAAATACGGCACAAAGGTGTGTACTCAGACGTATTTTTTTCATAGACATAATCTCTTGTTAAACACAATAACAAAGATCTACGCTGGTTGCACTCGAATCAACACCAAGTATCAAAACATAGTTTGCCGCTCAAATGCTACATATTGTCACAAGATCGTAATTTGTATCGAACTAGCACTTCACTCATCCCAACGGATTAAGTTTAGATGATGGTGCGCCAGTGAATCTCATTAATTATAAAATAAATTTCCTCCTTGCAAAACTTAAAAAAAACATTTAAAATACTAATCAATTTCATACTAACTCGTTGAAAAGTGCAACCGGTAGGCTGACATCCAACATTCTTGTTTAAACGAAATAAAGCCAAATTGGTAGCAGCACATCAAACAAGTTTAGGCCCTACAGAATCAGCAAACGGATGAATTACCAAGAAAACAATTCTGGTTCATTAATGATTTTCCATCAAACAAATTAAACCAACTCAAACATAATGCTAATACTGCCCAAGAATGGGACAGTAACTCCAGAGAACCACCTGCTTTGATCCGTAAATCAACCGCTACCTGACAGCACCTGCAAAAAAGTTCATGCTTCTTTTAAATAATCATTTCAACCCAAAACCTTAAGGTAGTGAGTGAGGGCCTTTTCAATAGTTTATATTATTTTCTAACACACCCCCTCACGCAAGAGCCATTTGGGCTTTTAGCGTAGATATTGCATAGTCCATTTTTTTTTTGTTTAGCTTATGCTTATTTAATTCCACAAATAGGGGACGGTGAGGATCGAATTTGTGATCTTGTGGTCACTAGAGCTCTGATATTATTTAAAAAATTATTTCAACCCAAAACCTTAAGGTATTGAGTGGGGGCCTTTTCAATAGTTTATTCTCTAACACTTCTTAATTCAGATATAGATCAAAAATTTCTATAAGAAATGTAAAAGCAAAAGAAATATACAAACATGAACTAAAACAAGCGTGATTTACATTCTGTTTCGGTAAAACAAATCAAAAGAATAAATGAATTTATCACCCAGAAGTTCAATCCTCACTTGAACTTCGAATAAGCATGTTATAAAAACGTGCTTTTTATAACACTTAAAATTTCAGTTGTTCCAACTTTCTGTAATCTTAGTTCTAAACAAAAGGAAAGAATGCGTACAAAGTCAAGAAGACACAAGTTAAATCCTAAAATATATTGATTTATTGGAAAAAACTTTCAATTTTTGAATCACTACTTCAATCAAAGAATCTTATGGTGATTATCAATCAGTTAATTTAAGTGTTATATACCTGGCGTGGAGATCCAGATCGTGAACGTGATCTTGGCCTGCAAAATTGAAGAAACAATTCAGGTGCATAAATATGGTAGATTTAAAGCAACACAACCATATTTAACAAAAGTATGCTTTGTGTACCTGGAAGATTTGATTGGTGATGCTGATCTGGATCTAGATCGTGACCTAGATACAGATCGCTCCAAAGATCTGCTGCAGAATGAAACAGGACCTTCCATAAGTAAAAGTAATGTCTAAACAGGACAATGAACAATAAGAAAGTGGCAATACCTTCTAGCCCTCTTTGGACTTCTGCTCCTGCTGGGGCTTCTGCTGCGGCTCCGTGAACGACTACTCTCATACTTCCTCACCTGCACAAATACCACTAAAAATTATTGTCCACAACTTTTATTCAGGCATAACTCTCCAGAAAACACTTCTTCACACAATCCATGAAATAATCCTTCACTTCGTGCTTTAAGTGGGGGTGTGCAAGATCTTTTTATAGAAAAAAAAATAAAGATAAAAGAAAGAAGAGTGCAGGATCTATCAACACGTAAAAGTTGAAGTTTACACATGCGAAATTTTATAAATATAGATCTAGTTACCCGAATATAAGCTCTAGCCCAAGGATTTCTAAATTCAGTGTCATCCAGTTTCCGAATCTGTGAAACAGAAATGTTAGGAGAGAGATGGAAGTGGAATCTAGTAACAATCTTGGTATGATTCACCAAAATGAAAAACTTACAGCATATTTCATGTCGTCATAATTAGTGTAGTCAACAAGACCAAAAGTCCCTAAACAGAGATCAATAGTATGAGTAATAAGCCTTTAGCATCAAAATTTGCTGAAATAAGAATACATTATGTAAGATCTAAAGTTAGAAGTAACCAATTCATATAACAAAGGCTTATATAAGTTGAGGCACCAGCACATGACAATCTCCAGGAAAACGCTCCCCCACCTTTCTACTCATTAGATATATATATATATATATTCAACTGATTCCATAGAATCTTAATTCAGCATAAGCAAACATCAAAGAATGAAGTTCAAATGGCATAGATTGCATCATGCATGAAAAACCAGTAGACCAGATTATCTACGATGCTTGATGCCCATTAAAATAAATGCACTGATGCATGGACTAATACAAAAGGGTGTTACATGTATTATATTTAGAGCACTAAGCTGCAAGTCTTCAATCCTACAAATTGTAATTTACCAGCTGAATATCATTCCAGACATACAGAAATTGGAATCATTCAGGTTATTTGAAATTACTAAGCTTCATGTTTGATCATTCTCTTCACACATCATACTTATTGAGATTCTGAGACATAAGTAGAAAATCCTTTCACAACTAGGCCAGATATTAGGAAGACAGACACCACAAAACTAGAGTTATAAAATAAATAGGGCATTAAATTCTCAGCTCTATTCATCTCTCAAGTCTCATCAAAGAGGTGCCTTGGGGAAAGATTTTACTTTCACATGAAAGAAAGGAAACATCTAATGAGGTTTTTTGGGATGGGGAAGGTGAACTTTTAGTACCTTCAAATGGTATTATGAAATTAAGAACAAAATCAGATATGATGCCATTGAGGCAAAATTTAGATCCTTGCTATTTTAAGTCGTCATTGGGCTTATATAGCCTTGAGGGTAGAGAACTTCACCTATGAACTGTGGACTCCAAACTGATAATAAGGAAGATTACTACTTATTAGAAAGTGTTGCAGGTTAAAAGTAACGGGGAAAGATTATTTTGTCCCTTCATTACAAAGATAAACAACAATTTTAAGGTGTTAAGCACCCCTGTAGAAACACAACAGAAAGACATTCAAAAACCTGTGCCTACTAAGAGAGCCGGCTTTCATTTTTATTATGCTCCTTTCTTCAATCTTAATCTTACTATTTCAAACAATAGAATCTGAATCATGAATATTCATTTTGTATTTGTATGTTCCTAGGATATTAAATTCAAGTCCCTGAAGTCTCATAACAATATTTTTATTTTTCATATAAGTTGACTTTTGCTGATAAAAGGTATAGAATCTAGGACAGCTACCGGCAAATTAAGCTTCAAGAACTAAATTTTGCAATGAAAACAAGCAGAACCCAAAATTAAAACAAAATAAAGGGAGCATCCACTACATTATTTATGTTTTATTAGGCCGTGATTTCTTTTATATTTCTCAGATGTACCGAAATATACAAAGCATCACAACGTAACTCCAATGTAAACATAGTAATTCATGGTAACAGTCTAATAAAAACATAGCAAAACACAAACAAAAATGAAAGTTTACCTTCACTATCACGGGAAACCTCAGCAAAACAAACATCACCAGCTTTTCGCATATGATCCTGAAACCAAATATTCAAAACATAGTTAAGTGATTTAAATATACTTATTGATTTTTTAAGTATGAAAATTCCAATACCTTCAAATCTTGCCATGATGCAGAAGATGGGAGTCCACGAACAATAACTGTAGACAAAAATATAAGGTGTTACACAATATCATGAAAAATATTAAACCAGTAATACCTTGAATAACTAGGGTCGATTTGTAGTAATACACATAAAATAGTTATCTCGTAGATTACAAAACATATAAAGCAAAGAAAACACATGCAAAACAAATTTTTGAAAATGGAAAAACTTATGCATATGCAGTTATAGTCTCGGAGCTTGCAATGACTTGGAATGACAAATATGCATCTAAAAAAGTTTGAATTCTTAGTTCAAAAATGATAAATATCAAATTAAAAAGCAAAATGGGTGAACAGTCTGAAGGAAAAAATCATTTAGCATATGCTCCTAATCCTTTTCTGTATCGAAGAAAAGGATTCTCCAATTAGACACAGAGATATTCAGAATGTCATACTTGTACACATACAGTTTATAGTCATGGACCATGGTTCCAAAGTTCTAAGCATTAAGACTGATAAATCTTGTAATGACTTGGAATGAGATACAAACAAAAATTCATTTCTTAATTCAAAAATGAAAAATATAACATGAAAAAGCATAACTAAATGGGTAAACAGTCTGAAGGAAAAAAATCATTTATCATATGCTCCCTATCCTTTTCTATATCAAAGAAAAGGATTTTCCTAATAGACAAACCTCGAAATTCAGAATGGCGTGAGACCCCAAAACGCCCCCCACCACCTCCATCACCGCCACCGCGGCCGCCACCACCTCCACCTCCACCGCCACCGCCACCGCCACTGTATCCCCGTCGGTCACTTGATGATGGCCCTCTACCGCCATGGGCAAGCTCCACCTACAACAAGAACATATTAGACACCAAAAAAGTATTTATCTAACAAGACAAAAGTCGGTACAGCTCCTCACCCTTAACCTGCAACCATCGAAGTTGTATCCATCTCGACCCCGAATTGCTTCTTCTGCATCTCGAGCATTGTCAAACTAGCAATGCCAACAAAAAAGAAATAATCAAATGGCAGAAGAAAAGATAACCGCACACGTACACAACCAGAGAGAACTGAGCACAAACAAATACAAAAGAGAATAAAGACAATACCTCAACAAAGCAATAACATGGAGGGCGGGGAGGGATCTTCAATTCAATATCCATTATACGGCCATACTGCAGAGGGAATACCATTGTAGTGCAACTACATTAGTACACAACTACAAACCCCACCCAGTTACATTGGCAGATTATAATCTATTCAAAAGTAAATGGGGTCCATAATAAGAAAATACACAAGTATGGGAAGTCAAGAATTCAAGACAATTCTTTGCCTTTGCTCACAAGACTTAAGAATATAGTAGTATATACCATTCACTCATCAGTTAATATATTCTCTTAATTGATTTTCAATATTAAAACAAAAAATTGCATGGTTTAAGTAAAGAATAAATTTCATAATTTACAGTAGCATGAAGATAAGGTTACAGACAAAAGGTTAAATATAGAGAAAATCAGAAGCCAAGCTAACTCTATATACACAAAACATGATGAGCCTGAAGCACCAGAATATATTACACAAGAAAAGTGCACATCCAACCTTGTAGAATAGATCTTCAATTTCGGATTCTCTTATATCGGAGGGCAGGTTGCCAACATAAATTGTGCGAGAAAACCGACCACTCATATCTTATAGAAGAATTTACACAGCTTCTCTACAAACAAAATTGGAAGCTCATCAGTAAAGAAGATTTCTCTCACTTTCCGAAGCCACGCCTAAACCTGAAACGTCTTGTTATCATCATCATTACACTAATGATTTCACAAAAATAAATAAAACCGAAACTATGAAGCAAACCAAGAGAGCAATCCTTGAGGTGAGCCGTGCTCCACAAGCTCCATTGCTCATTTGCTCCAAGATGCTCCAAAGCTATAACAATATTGAAAATAAATTTGATCTCCTCATCCTTTCCAGAATATTAGCAGGCATACATCTTCTGAGAGTGAGCAAGAATCTCCAAATATTTAAAAAAATAACCATAACTCCACCCCGATTCTCCCACTCCCACTCTATATCCCTATGTTTGATTGCAAAGCTCATATTTGTCCAAGCGCTTGTCATCTATCATAAAGAAAGCATTGGTGTCATAAGATCAAATTAAGATCGACATACACTTAAGCATTTACCTCACTCAGTTCTCTTTTTAACAGCATTGAAAAATCAACCCTGGCAAAAATTTGCAACATGACCGCTATTTGTATTGGGACATACTTGTTAAGCAACTTAATTGCCCTGGATATGTAGTGGAACTACATTTCTCTAGCCTCCCTATCTGAAATACACATCTATATACACAAACCGTTCATTAGAACGAAACCTTTGTTCGAGGTACTATTGTGACCCTAAAATTCACAAGTTAAAGTGGAATAGCCGGTAACCAGGTTCTTCAACCTCTTATAAATATTTCACCCCAGTAAAACGCAGCCATAAGAGACAACCAAATCATCTAATTTGGAGGCTGCCTCCTATAATAAATCCGATACACAACATCAAAAGAAAGCGTAAAAAATATATAGAGAATGAAAATTCAAATTAAAACGTAATGCAGATTACAACTGGGTCAATGAAGCACTGACAAACATTTTCGATGTAATTGTTAAGTAGAGTCTTCAGGACGTGTCAACAATAACCAATATCGCGCAGGCAAATCCAAAGTTAGGAATTATGAACCAAGTGAAAATTCTAAGCTCACCGATGGAATTGAGGTCAAATTCACCTCAAAACCCTAGATGAACACAGGGTCATCAATAATCGAACAGAGGAATGAAATAAATGCAAATTCAGAAAGAGAGGTATGATTCAAGGAACGCCATACCAGAAAAACAACAGCTTGAGCACCCACTCGACCCTTCGCGAAGCTGAAGCTGGCAAACAAGATCCTTTCGATTTGGAGAGAACGCAGGTGGTATGGTAAGAGTCTAGGGTTGACGTTGGAATTTATGGACCCTAAACAGGCTTGGGCCTCACTACAGAACCGGCCCATGGATCCTGTTAAAGTAATAACGAGTTTCAATGAAATAATAATAATAATAACACACTGTTTTAAAATTCATATGGATCATCGACTCAATTGAGGTATTGGATTATTAGATCAGTGATTCAATCGAATTTCAAAATAATATATAATAAATATTAATAAATATATTACTCGTATTAACAGCTCACACTGATTTTGGCATTTCCTCAAACAGGTTATGGTTATGTACAAGAAATTTGAATATTTCGAATGACATTAATAAGTATCTCTCAAAAGATTGGTGAAGAAATGGGTTAGGCGCGTGGCTCTACTCGCGCAATTTTTTTCTGTCAGTTAGGGTTTTCTTTCTGTTTTTCGCGTGTTTGCTTCAATGGGAGAGTCGAGAAATGGTGAGATCGAGTTTTTGGTGATGTCAAGGAAGAGTACAAAGAGGACGAAGAGTGGTGATGAGATTCAACCGGAAGTTGTGATGCGTGAAGCGATTAAGGATTTTCAGACTGGGGCTCCAGGGTATGAAAAATCGAGGTCATTTGCAGAGGTTACAGGGGTTGAGAATGGTGTGTCGGGCGACAAGGTTCCATGGCTGTTTGAGGAAGATGATCCTGATCTGGATCCCCTAGATCCTAAGCTAGGTGAGATCTCTGAATGGGGCTTTCATACCATTGTTAGGGATGACGGTTTGTTGAAATTAGAAGCAACAAGGAGGTGAGAACTAGAATGCGTCTAAGGTGGAAGAATGCGTTGATTGTGAAGCTGCTAGGAAGGAATATTGGCGTTGGATTTATGAAGAAGAGGCTGGAGGTGATGTGGGCGAAGGCTGGGAATATTACTGTTGCGGATCTAGGTAATGAATTTTTTTCGGTTAGGTTCAGTTGTCTGGAGGATATGAACCTAGCTATTACTTGTGGTCCGTGGGTTATCCTAGGTCATTACCTAGCCACAAGGAAGTGGGAATCATGTTTTGATCCTGACAAAGCTAATATCCATAAAGTAGCTGCATGGATTCGACTCCCAGGCATCCCACAGGAATATTGCGAATTCCCATTTCTGAATCATCTTGGTTCGGTGATTGGTAAAGTAATTAAGGTTGATCGTACTACTTCTAGTGGAGACAGAGCCAGATTTGCCAGGGTGTGTATTGAAATTGACCTCTCTAAGCCTTTGAGAGGTGAATATGTTTTGGATGGTGCTAGGAAGAGGGTGGAGTATGAAGGACTTTTTTTGATTTGTCTCAAATGTGGTAGGTATGGGCATAACTCTGACTCATGCCCAGATTTTGCTAGACCTACTCATGTGCATCAACCGGAGGAGGCTCCTGCTCAACCTGTGGAAAATTCTGGAGCCCAAGGTGTAGGACCATGGATGGTTGTTAATCGAAGGAAGAAAGGTCAACCATCCCATCAAAAGCATGATACCGGAAGTTACAGAACCTTTGGTGCTGACATCTCTAATAAAAATAGTATGATGGGTCCTAAGTCTGGTGCTAACAAGGAAAAGGGTAATGCAAAAGGGGCTAATGTGCAACAGTCTGTGAGTGACTCTCCTAGTCCTATTGTAAACAAGGAGAATGTATCCTCGTGTAGCAAAGCTGGGTCCCCTGTTCTTGGAATGTTGTTTGCAGTTGTTGCATCATCTGCTGTTAAAAAAAGTGGTGCAAATCATTCGGGGGTTTCTTCTTCCAAGAAATATGTGGTGAAGGCTTCTTCGGTTCAAGGTAAAGGATCTGTACAAGAATCACCTATCTCCTTTGGAGTAGGCAGCTTAGTTTTTCAGAAGATGGATGAGTTGGAGGGTGAAGATAATATGTCAGGGGAGCTTAGTTGGACACATGATAATTCCTCCCATGTTTCAAATGCTCTTGTTGCTGAGGAAATGGTTGCTGCTAGCATGCAAAAAGAACCTGAGCCTCCTGATCAAATTATGGATGAGCCTTCCAAGCTTGCGGATGCTAATATAGGTATGGAAGTTGACTTATCTCTAAAAGCTAATTTAGTTAATGATGTTAATATTAGCTATGAAACTGGTTGTGTTGATGGAGTTGCTGGAAGTCAGAGCTGTATGAGTGTTAGTCATGATGGAAGCTGCAAGAGCTTTGTAATCTTGCAGCATAGTCATAATTCATGATGAATGTCCTTTCATGGAATTGTAGAGGTGCTGTCAAGAGACAATTTAAAAGCACTTTTAGTAGATTTAGGAATAAATATAAGGTTAGTGTGGCTGCTATTTTGGAGCCTAGGGTGAGTGGGAATAAAGATGTTAGGATTATCAAAAGTTTGGGCTTCACTAATTATAGTATAGTTGAAGCTCAAGGCTTTTCTGGTGGCATTTGGCTCATGTGGAATGCTAGTGATGTTAAGATTTCTTGTATTTCAAAGCATGAGCAGTATATTCACTGTTGGGTGGAGTTTTCTAATATGAAGGGCTTCTTTTTTACGGCTGTCTATGTTAGTCCTCATGAAGGGAAACGCAGAATACTGTGGGAAGAGTTGAAACATATTGGGAGGACTATGGAGGAGCCTTGGTTACTATCTGGTGACTTTAATGAAATCACTTATGCTGAGGAGAAGAGAGGTGGAGGGATTGTTGATTATAGCAGGTGCAACCAGTTTACTAATGTCCTGGATGCTTGTGGTGTGTTGGATTTGGGAGGAGGTGGTAATAGGTTTACTTGGAGAGGGCCCAAGTTCCTTCACTTGAATAGGGTTTTTAAGAGGCTTGATAGAGCTGTGGCTAATGAGATTTGGAGAGCTAGCTTTGAAGATGCTGATGTGCTGACCCTCCCTAGACTATTCTCTGACCATTGTCCTATTCTTGTCAGATTGGAGAAGGAAGAAACTGATTGGAGAGAGAGGCCCTTCCGGTTCCTTGCCTCCTGGCAGTATGACCCTAGATTCAGTCCATTCCTTAAAGCTAATTGGAACCAAGCTGCCAACCTTTGTGACAGTTTGAACTCCTTTACTCCAGCTCTTAAGGATTGGAATAGAGATGTTTTTGGTTTCATTCAATATAAGAAAAATAGGATTATTTCTAGATTGGATGGTATTCAAAAAGTTAGTAGCAGTAATAACAGTAAGCAGCTTGAGAAGTTGGAATCTAAGCTGAAGGATGAACTTTCAGGTATCCTTGATCAGGAGGAACAACTATGGCATCAAAAATCTAGGGGAAATTGGATTAGAGATGGAGACAGAAATACTAGACTTTACCATACTAGTACCTTGATCCGAAGGAAAAGGAATAAAATTATTAAACTCCAAGATGAGGCTGGCCATTGGATAAGTAGGGAAGAGGAGTTAATTGAGTTGGCAAGGAATTTCTTCTTAAATCTCTTTAAGGATGAAGCTATTAATCCTGTGTGGGTGCATACTAGTAACAATTGGCCAGACTTGAAGGAGGACCAATTGGCCTCTTTGTCTTTGGATGTTGATTTGGAGGAAGTGAGAACAACTTTTTTCAAATGGGTCCTTTGAAGGCTCCTGGACCTGATGGTTATCCTACTCTCTTCTTCCAAAGGAATTAGGAATGTCTTAAATCTCAAGTTTTTAGAGTGTGCAGAAGTACCTTAGAGAGCCAGATTTGATTAAGGAGATCGATCATACCCTGCTAGCTCTTATTCCCAAGGTTGAGAAGCCTTGTTTAATGAAACAGTTTAGGCCAATTGCCTTCTGCAACTTTGTCTATAAGGGACTCAACAAAATCCTTGTCAATAAGATTAAGCCTCTTTTGGGGAGTCTCATTTCCCCTAATCAAGTGAGTTTTGTTCCAAAGAGGCAAATACATGATAATATTATCATTGCCCAAGGAATGGTTCATGCTATGCACAAGATGAAAGGTAGGAAAAACTTCTTCTCTATTAAAATTGATTTGAAAAAAAGCTTATGATAAGCTTAATTGGAGTTTTATCAGGTCAGTTTTGGAGGAAGTGAAGTTCCCTGCGAATTTGATTGATGCTATTTTGGGTTGTGTAACTAGCCCTTGTTTGGAGGTTCTGTGGAATGGTGCTAGGACACCTGGATTTAGTTCTCAGCGAGGGATTAGACAAGGGGATCCAATATCCCCTTATCTATTTGTCTTATGCATGGAGAAATTAACTCATTTAATTTTGGATGAAGTGGAGGCTAAAAGGTGGAGACCTATGAGGGCTGGTAAAGCTGGTCCACTTATCTCTCACTTAATGTTTGCAGATGATGTAATTCTGTTTGCTGAAGCTTCTATGGATCAGTTGGAATCTATAGCTCACTGTTTGGAGAAGTTTTCGTTGATGTCAGGTCAATGTGTGAGTGTGGAAAAGTCTTGTATATTCTTTTCGAAGAATGTAGCCCAGGAGACTATAGATTCTATTACAGCTGTGAGTGGATTTAAAAGAGTCAGCAGCCTTGGATGTTATTTGGGAGCTTTGATGAGGCATGGTAGAGTTAAAAGAGACCACTATGCTGATACTATTTCTAGAGTTCAAGGTAGACTCCAAGGGTGGAAATCTAAGTGCTTTTCTTTGGCGGGTAGGATCACCTTGGCCAAGAGTGTCATCTCAGCTATACCTTCCTTTCATATGCAAAATAGTATGCTACCTGTCCATGTGTGCCAGGAGATTGAGAGACTACAAAGGAATTTTATTTGGGGGGATTCTGATGTCAAAAAAAGAGCTCACTATGTATCTTGGGAGCAATTGTGTCTGCCTAAGAATTGTGGTGGGCTTGGTTTTTTAGACTTGAGAAGACAGAATGCTGCATTTATGCAGAAATTAGCATGGAAGGTTATGAATGATCAAAATAGCCTCTGGGTGCAGGTGATGTTAGGCAAGTATGGTAGGAATCTTAATCCTAACCGGGCTTTAATTTCAAAAGGTACTGATTCTCCTTTATGGAAGTATATTTGTACTGCTAGAGACAACCTATCCCAGCATCTTGAGTGGGTGGTTGGAAATGGCAAGGAGACTTGTTTCTGGACAGACTTGTGGGGAGGTTGGAAAAGGAGTTTATATGAACTTGTTGTTTGTAAACCTCCGAATGATCAGCTGCCTCTCAAAGTGTGTGACTATGTGGATCCTGATACAGGGGAGTGGAGATGGTATTGCCTTCTGAACTGGTTAGATCCTAATACCCTAAATAAGCTTAAAGGCATTAGGCCTCCTGTCAATGATGTTTTAGATGATAGATTGAACTGGTTGTGGAGTAGACCAAACATGTCTTTTGTGAGAAATGCTTACTGTTATATGTCTGATTTTAGTGTTGGAAAGGATAAAATTTGGGCTGCTATTTGGAGATGGAAAGGTCCTTATAGGATAACTGTTTTCATTTGGCTTGCATGTCTTAATAAAATTCCTGTTAGAACTATGACAGGCCAATGGAGTGGAGGGGATCTTGGATGCCCAACCTGCTACTATTCTCATGAAACTGTCTTACATGTGTTGAGGGATTGTAGGGTGGCCAGACAAGTTTGGGAGAGATGGTTTGCAGGTCATATCCCAAGAGAGTTTTTATCTGCTGAAGGTCTTGCATGGTTTAAAATTAACCTGTTTCTGGTGGTATGCTTGTGTTGAAGGGAAGCATGAGTTCTGTGAATGCTTGTGTTGTTTCTGGTGGTATTCTTAATTCTGAGTTGGCAGGGAAGCAGTAGGTACTGGATCAGATCAGCATATTTGTGGATGGAGTTGTTTGTTTAAATTCCAGCAAAAGTGCTTGTGGAGGGCTGGCTGTTTCCTCAAGTGGGGAGTGGAAAGGGGGCTTCTCAGCTAATTTAGGGACAGTTTCTGTTTTGGAAGCTAAGTTATGGGGAGTATACCATGGTCTCAAAATGGCTGGGGATTTGTGCTATACCAAGGTTTGGATGGGCTGTGATAGTAAAGAAGCCATCCTTTGCTTGGAGGAAGATTCTGAGATTTGTGGCTTTACATCTTTGATCTGCAAAATTAGAAGTATTGCTCAAGATTTTGACCAGCTGCAGTTGGAGTTTATTCCTCGGAAATCCAATGATTGTGCAGATTTTTTAGCTAAGCTAGGCTTTAGTTGTAAGGGTGAAGAGTTGATGTTTTTCTCCTCTCCCCCTGTTGATATTTTACCTTATTGGTTAGAGTTGTGCTCCAATATGTTGATGGAGCAATTGAGTCTGTATATGCATAATCCGAGTGTTTAGTTTTCTGGGCTTGGCCTTCCACTTTTATAAAAAAATAAAATAAAATAAGTATCTCTCTTATATTTTTCTTTGTGTTCAATATTGTTTGATTCTTCGACAATAGAAATCTTCCCGAAGACATTGTTTGGTAGAGGCTTATTCGAATCATATTTCTGTCTCACAACAAGAACAATATCATAGTTTTGGTTCACACTTCCTTGTATTACAGAATAGCCAAAATTCTCAGTATTGTTAGTAATGTGGCTCTACGAATGAGCCAAGGTTTTGGATGGATTTGGTTGCTTCAAGGACTTCATATAGACTCCAAAGAAACCAACCACACCTTCCATGGAACCTCACAATCTTGGCCTCGGTCATTGGGACCAAAAAATGTGTCCCTTGTTCAACACCAAATAGTCCATAAGTTTTCTTGTTACTCTCAAAACCCAGTGACCGAACTAAATTTGGCCCCCATTGATTTAAGCCACCATAGTATTCATGAATGGAAGTTAGGAACTCATCTCTCCACTCAAACAAGTCATTTATTTTGCTTATCGTTTTGGTAGAAGACAAGTTTGGGGAGTCCGAAGAAGCTTGGGGCGAGGTGGGAAGGTTCCACATCGACCAGGACATGAAAAAAAAAACTCAATTTATAAACCTTTCATATGAACATTTGCCAACTTGCGTTGCTTATCTTTCATTAGCGGGTGGGTTTCTAACAACCCAGTGAGTCTATGGTTTTTACAAAACTGGTAGGTCAAACCTTGTTGTGACTGGGCCAAAATGGTTTGAATGCATATTTGATCTGATATGTAACTCGAACCAGTTTCTCCTGTGCTTTATAAATTGCTTCAGCACAAAATGTCTCTCCAACGCATAAATAGTTGAGAATTCACATTTTCATCATCTTTCGTAAAATCAAGTCCACCGCGGAGACATTCCTAAACTGCTCTACCGTAATTCTCAGCAATAATCTCAATTTAGGTTTAATAGTACATCCCAACTTGACATGTTGTGTTCACTTCTATACACTCAAACACGAATTCACATTTTCATCATCTTTCGTAAAATCAAGTCCACCGCGGAGACATTCCTAAACTGCTCTATCATAATTCTCAGCAATAATCCCAATTTAGGTTTAATAGTACATCCCAACTTGACATGTTGTGTTCAACACTTCTAGACACTCAAACACACATTGCAAAGACTCAAAAAAGGGTTTAATAGTATATTTCTTTGCAAAATTAATGGGTATTATAAGTTTAGCTTTCATCCTAATGTCACCTCCTGAATGGAAGGACCACCTCTGGGGCTGGAGCACTAAAAAAAATTTGATCATCCACCCCTCCTCTGGAAACACCCATGATAATAACCTTTCAGTTCTGGGTATCTTTTCTTATCCTCCTAAGATAAGTAGATCCTTAGCATTTCTCACTCTTTATAATAGAATGCACTTCAGATTAGAGATTCCTCATATAGGTTGGTTTATGAGAACATTAGCTTGTTGCTTGCACTCCTGCCATATCAACCAACTATACTACCAAACAAGGATGACCAACTACCTGCTGACCAGTCTTTTGGAGGTTCTAAGTTAATGTGCAATCATTCCTTCAAGGGAAAAGAGAAAAATCCCAATTTGTTTTGGTCCTGCAACATTATATTCTACACCTTTGCAACTCGAGGACAATCCTGAAAGGTGTGAATGGTGCTTTCTGCATTTCTTAAGACATCAAGAGCAGGTGGAAGATGAGCTCCTTTTTATCCTTTTTCATTAGTTAGAAGATTGTCACCTAACAATAACCATAATCCTTTGTGGTCCATCCCATTTCCAAGATGACTTTACTTTGGGTTTGAAGTAGCAGAATTATGCTGCACAAGGAGGGAGTAAGCTGATTTGAGATTAAAAACTCCATCGTTGGACAAGTTCAAAATAACTCAATCTTGGGAATAACGATCTTGTGGGGGCATGATGTTAGCAATATGATCTACTGCTTCCTTAGGAATTAAGTGCTGGAATTTGTTCCAGTCCCAACAGCCCTGACAATTAACAAAATCAACCATCTTTAGACACAACACAACAGATTAGGTTGAATTGGTTAGGAGGAGAAGTTGCTCAAGGTTGGGTAGCCATTTATTACTCCAGAAATGAGCTAGTTGATCATTTCCAAGTAGAATCCTAGAAGCATTAGTAATTTTGTCCCAGTTCAGTGAGATTCCTCTCATTTATCTTGGGGATAAGGTCCATGCCCAATCTTGATATGTGACTTTTTAATGATCATGACTTGATCCCCAAAGAAAGCTCCTCGTGTATTTCTCCACCTCATTGCACGTACCCAAAGGAATGAAACTAGTTGGCACGGAATAAGAAGATAGAGCTCCTAAGACAGGTTGAGCCAGTGTAAGCCTTCATGCCAAGGAAAGGCTATCTTGATTCCAAGAATTAAGCCTTTTCTGAACTCTGGAAATTATGTGGTGAAAGGAAAATCTCCCTACTCTTTTTGTGGTGTAAGAGAATTCCTAGATACTTGTTCAAATCAGATGTGAGATCAAATCCCAAGGCTTCACTTATTTCACAAGCTCTGTTATGATTGACATTTCTTGATAAACATAATTTGATTTTTTTTCTTGTTTTGACTTTTTGACACAAGGAACAACAAAAATAATTGAGGGTGTCTTTAATGATTTTAGCTTCATCGAGGGAGACTTTTGCGTACAGTAACAGGTCATCCACAAACTGCTATTCATCACTAAGTTGTGTTAGACTCTCCATGCATACGAATATAAACTAGTGAAAGAAAGAGGAATGTCCTAAGTAAGATGACCGCGACAACGAACATCCACATAACTAAAAACAGAGAAGATATTACAAAACAGAAACAATTGGAATATAAACTGCAGACACACAATCTTGGAAACTTTATCTGTTGTGCTGCAATTAAGCCGACGGCTGATCCTTTTTCCTTCATTTTGTAATGTGTATGTTACAACAAAAATTCTGTTGGAAGTGGTAAGTATAAAGTGAAAAAGAAAAAAAGAAAAAGAAAAATGTTCTCTTTGTCCACGGAGAAATAACCCAAAATTAATGAAAGAATAGATTTGAATAACCCATATGCTCAGCAAAGATAGCATTGAGACATGTACGTCGCCGAAGCATGTTATAACCTATGCCTCTCAGAAATTACGGAAAAATTGGATGTTATTTAACTATAGGCTATAGCTACGATATGCTCATCCACTTTTAGTCATTTGGATCCTTTTCCTCATCTTGATCCCACTGTGGAGTCTGATTGGTTTTGCCATCGTCTTTATCAGATTCAGATTCATCAACAAAACCATTACTTTCATAATCTGGCAGACCATCGTCTTCGGATTTGACCCCTTCTTTCCCCAATGAACCTGCCTTATCAGCACGCTGCATCCATTTGGGGCACTGGTCTTCGTCTCCATATAGAAACCGGCTATCCTCACCTCTGACACGATTGGCAACCTTGGTAGAAGCTATTCTACAGGAGCATTCTGGAAGTGGATGTGAAAGGAACATAGCTGGTTTTGACAAGAGAGATTGCCTTATGAGGCCTTCTTCTGTCATACGTTTGTTAAGATGTTCATGTACTAAAATTGTCCAATTATGCTTTGGATGGTACAAATTTTCACGAGTGATGTTGAAAAGTTCCGCAATAACTTTCCTGTTGAAGACCAGATAGAGTAGTGTCACAATAAAATGTAAAATGCAGGGATATATCGATAGATAACTTCAACAGAGAAATTTCAACTATTAACTAAAAACAAAAGCAATCATGAAGGAATGGAAAGTCATCACACTCATCACTTCAGATACAAATGTGCATGCAATTCTCGAGACATCAACTGACACAAAATCAAGAAAAAGAAAAGATGACTACATTCAAAATGCACATGTGGAAATGAGGGAATACCATGCAAAACAACCCATACATAATAATCTAACAAGATTCTAATTAATCCATTTCAAAAACAACGTATTTTTGAGCGATATTTTAGAGTTTTTGGAAGTTTAAAAAATTATTTTTAATATATGGGTCACGATTTTTCTTCGCACAAAAGATGTAATTTTTGTTTTCAAAACAACATAAAATAGTGGGAAAACAACAAAGGAACAAAAACCCTCAAACCAATTTTCCATTTACATTAATGAAACAAGATCGATTTAAAAAAATATTGAAACTTTTATAATATAATCCCACAATACATTCTTTCGCTTTATGAAATGATTTCAAACAATTTTTGTGTCAATCGATCACTAAGAATTTTTTTTTCAAAATCAATTAAAAATAATTCAATTTTTTTTCTAATCTTTAATGTAATAAAACCGAGAAATTCATATTCAAAATTTTCTTAGAATACTAAATGAAAATATGCATATGGTATATGGTTAGAAAACTCTTATCACGTAGAACAAAAATCCAAAAGTTTCTAAGATCAATTATAAAAAATTCCAAACGAAATTATATCATGAATCTTAGGTTCTATATGCAAATTTATAATTATTTTGTAAATAAAAAAGTGTGGGTCTTATAATCATATATGCATAGCTTTGATACCAAATGAAGAAGATAATTTTCAATCTATTGATAAAACCCACGAGCAGAAACGAAAAAATGCTGATGAGGGGAGGGCTAATATAGATATGTGACGAGTTGGTGCTTAGTAGGACATCAAGTTACGGATTAAGAAAATTATATTAGGTTTTATTTTTTTTATTAATATCATTGTATTTCTTTGTTTTTTTTATTGATTCTTGTAATTTTGAATGTTTGTTAAAAATTTATATAATATTTTAAAATCTTATAAATTCATATTGTCCTTTTAAATCTTATAAATTCTATTAAAATCATTTAAAATCCAATCTTATAAAATCTTGATTGTTAAAAAAATCTTTAAAGTCACTATAATTCTATATAGTCTTTTAAAATCTGTAAAAAAATTATCTCAAAAAATCTTTTAAAATCCTGATCCAATACATCCTTTTGGTCTTGTATTTA